TTGCAAAAATGCCATTAACTAATACTGATTCTGTGTAACCCTATTTATTCTTTTGTCATTGCCATTATCATTATTACCATATTTTTAGTCATTCTCATTATCACTACCATTATCATTATATCAATGTTGATATTATTATAATTACCATTAATTTTTACCATTGCCATTATCATCATTATGAATATTATTATTATTATTATTGTTGTTGTTATTGCTGATAATATCATTATCATTACTATTATCATCATTATTTTTTCCTGGATCCACCAACGTAGAATTTCGACACGTTTCCGATGCTGCTACCAAACATTTAATCAACTAGGGCTTCTATATACCTAGAATTTAACTATAACACGCAGGCTGTTTTCAAGGCCAGCACAATATATAGATGAGTTACCCCTTTATTACTTTCAAAGAAAACAAATGTCTGTCACTCTATTTAAAGAAAACGAATTGCATGTAATACAATAGACTATAAGAAACTGTATCCTCGAATGTTTGCCATCTTTCCACTATTTTTTTTAGAATAGCGGTTCGTCATGGATCGCGACGATAACAGTATCAATGGATTCCTCTTAATCTCTAGTTTCAAAATATGTATAACTTTTTGTTTTGAAACCCCCATATCTCCACATACTTGGCCCCATAGCAGCGGAACTGTGGGTTAAAATTGAAAAGGTGGCAAAAATAGATCAAAATACTCAAACATATATATATATATATATAATATATATATATATATATATATATATATACATATATATATATATATATAACATATATATACATATATACATATATACATATATTATATATAATATATATATATATATATATATATATATTATATTACTGAAGAAAATGACACATACTATGATAGGATTACAAATGATTGAGTAAACCTCGTGTTGCAACGACACAGTATGATTTTCTTTTAGTCTCCGATTATCAATTTTACGCGTTTTCTGTGAATACAATGATACGCGTTCGTTTTCTTTGAGATTAATAAAGGTATAACTGATTCATATATGGTGCTGGGTTTAGTGGCGTGTGTGTATGAGTTGGTTATATGAAAGCCCCAGTTTATTATTCATTTCCCAGATCTTGGTGACAGCATCGGTAGCGTGCCGGACTGCTACGTTGATGGACCCAGGATCGAGACCAAGGTAGACCTTTGGCTTCGGGAAAAGTTAACTCTTCTCGAGGTCAAAGGTCGCTGAGGTCGGCAGCAACGGACCACTCGGTTATAAACGAAATAAAATCGGAATGCTGGATCTGGTTGGCCGACTCGGTGTCCTGTTTTGAGTCCATTCCATTTAGATTGGAAATGATTTTGAAACAATGGCATTTATTTATATGGATTATTGACAATTTTCGATTTTTTTTTTCTTTTTCTTTTTACATTATCTGCATTTATCTGATTTGTAGCATAAGAAACATTTTTTTTCATTAAAATACACCACAAGAACAGATATTATTCATAGATTTCTTTTGGCTTCATGCGAAAGAGAATCCAAGGCGCATTAGTTAGAATTGCTTATATTCGTGAGTAAACTTGTAGTATAAGAGTTAAAAACAATTTCTGTCAAAGTGTATGCGCAATATTAAGAAAAGGAATTGCAAACATCATGAAATAAAAGGGAAAAGTAAAATCTAGCAATGGTTTCATTTTGCTAAGAATTATTGAATGCATTTTTTTTCAAATTATGAAATATATACTTATCGATGCTGAGAAATAGAATTCAACCGTTATCTGTGTTGTTGTATTTGCCATTATCATCATAATCATTAACACTTTTATCATTCCATTATATTTATCACGATCGAATAACAGGAAAAACGGAAATACACGAAAGGAAAGTCAAATGTAAGGAATTATTGCATTTGTGTAAATATTTCACTCTGAATATAAAACCAACGCTGATTAATGTGTGAGAATCAAAATTAATGTCAAAATGTGCTCTGTTCTTATCATATCACAGCAGGCTCAGTTTCAAACATTTTTTCAGAGGTAATCGATAGAAAATATGTATCGCTGAACTTTTTTCAATCAAATCCAAGGTGAGGCATCAGTTAAATTTTCATATATTCGTAAATGAAAGAAAGAACAATTTGTTAGATAATTCTACGTGCAATAGCAAAAAAAAAAAAAAAAAAAAAAAAAAAAAAAAAATACACCTTATTAAATACATACAATGGAAAAGTATAGTCCAAAAATGTATACATTTTACCAAAAATATTGGAATGATGACTTTTATCCGTATTTGCCTAATATCTATTGTTTTGTTGATGTATCCTCAAGGGCTAGTAATGATAACAAATCTATAAAAGTTTCTTTCTATTTTTTTCTTGAGCATAAAGAAACACCTTTTATATAAGGGGGAAGTGTGGTCATGGTATGCAGAAAGTGCTATTTGCGTGAATTGAATATGATTTTGAATTTGAATGAACGCTGGGAGAGAAACAAAGTGTACGAGACTTTATAAATACCTTAAACGTGTCATTTTTTTACATCTATTCAAATATATATTTCATCTAATTTAGACTATGACTGGGAGACAAACAAAGCGTGCGAGATTTTACACATGTAAACAATGTCACTTTTTGCATCTTTTCAAATATATATTTCTTCTAATTTAGAGTAGGACTGAATAATGGTTAAATAAACATTTTTGCATTCATTATGTTAGGGGAAAATATGTCGATTTTCGTATAACAAACCGGAACCATACCTTTATTCCCAGGCCATTTATTGTTTCAATAATTAGAAATATAAAAGAAAAGAGAGTTTGAAAGAAAAAATACAACCGAGCGATCATTTACAAATTTTGTGAAAAAAAAAAAAAAAATCTGCGGGATAAAGACGTCCAGGGATATGAGAGAGAGAGAGAGAGAAGAGAGAGAGAGAGAAGAGAGAGAGAGAGAGAGAGAGAGAGAGAGAGAGAGAGAGAGAGAGAGAGAGAGAGAGAGAGAGAGAGAAAGAATTATCAATATAAGATATAGTAATTCAATTAATTCCATTTCTTACAATAGTTTTTCTTATGCTTGTTGTGATAGTTTTGGGTTACTAAATTACCCATAGTCAGTGAGGGCTACTCACGCGCGCGCACACTGCAATGCTGCAACAAAAATATATATGTATTAAAGGTAAAATGACTCGGATTCCATGATAGGGTTACAATTGATTGAGTAAAACTTCATGATGCAACGACATAGCATTTGATTTTCATGGTGGATCCTCTACTGACAGATATGGATATACTTTCATTGTTTAAAAGTTAAAATGTACGTAATGGTGATTTTTTTCATTGCTGTAACAAGATTATTTAGATCGTTTACATACATGTCATGACTACTAGTTGGACTCATTTATCATTTAAAGAGAATACTGAATTACGAAAAATTATGTAAAAACAAAACTTGCCATTCTTGAACGGTTTTAAAAACTTGAATATTGAATATAGAGTGCAAATAACGTGTGTGTGTGTGTGTGTGTGTGTGTGTGTGTGTGTGTGTGTGTGTGGTGTGTGTGTGTGTGTGTGTGTGTGTGCGTGTGTGTGCGTGCGTGTGTTCTCAAGTCAGGAGTCTTGTGATGCCTTACAAATGACACTTGATACCCTCCCCCCCCCCTTCTTCCCCAACCTCCAACCCCCAACCCACATTCGATCCCCCACCACACATGACAGTCACTCACCTCACCACGTCCTGGGTTTACCTGTCTTCTGTGTCTTCTCTTGTTAGTGTATTTCGTAATATGTGCTTTATTTATTTATCTATTTATCTGTTTGTTGTGTGTGTATTTGGTTATGTGTGTGTATTTCATTTTTGTGTGTGGTGATATGTGCTTATTTATTTATCTATTTTTATGTGTGTGTATTTGGTGGTGTGTGTGTTATTTCAGTTTTGTGTGTGGTGATATGTGCTCTATCTATTTATCTATTTTTTGTGTGTGTATTTGGTGGTGTGTGTGTTATTTCAGTTTTGTGTGTGGTGTTCTGTGCTCTACCTATTTATCTATTTTTATATGTGTATTTGGTTATGTGTGTGTTATTTCATTTTTGTGTGTGGTGATATGTGCTCTATCTATTTATCTATTTTGTGTGTGTGTGTTTGGTGATGTGTGTTATTTCATTTTTGTGTGTGGTGTTATGTGCTCTATCTATTTATCTATTTTTTGTGTGTATTTGGTGGTGTGTGTGTTATTTCATTTTTGTGTGTGGTATGTGCTCTATTTATTTATCTATTTTTATGTGTGTTTGGTGGTGTGTGTTATTTCATTTTTGTGTGTGTGTGACTTTTTAACTAATCAATTTTATGAGGTGTGTGTCATAGTTATTTGATTAGCGTTTACAATTTTTCATTTTTCTTTCTCTGTCTTAAGCATATACAAATGTTTGGTTCTATTTTGTGTGAATCTTTATGAACTCTTTTGTCTAAGAGAAAAGTTTATATCATACATATTTTTGTTTTGATCTGTGTTGTAACTTCCTTTAGTTCTGTATCTTCATTTCACTCCTGTTTCTATATATTTTAACTTTTTTTGTATCAGTCATTTCATATAATATATATATATATATATATATATATATATATATATATATATATTATATTATTTTTTTTTTTTTTTTTTTTTTTTTTTTTTTTTTTTTTTTTTTTTTTTTTTTTTTTTTTTTTGTATCAGTCATTTCACATTTCCGCTTCATACCTCTATATTTTCGGTTCTTTATTATCATTAGCGTTATTTGCAACAATCCTGTGCAAAAAAATAAGGTTCTTGTGTTGCCTTGGTTGCACAGCAAATTTAATACATTTACAAATTATATTTTCTTCTTTACATATTCACTTTGGTTATTCCCATTTCTTTATTTTTTCTTATTCAGTGTCGTTCATTTTTTTTCCCCATATCCTTTTTTTTTTTTTTCTATGACACATTTATTGTAAATCTGATTGGGATTTCTGAAAATTTCTTTAAATCATTTTTTTTTTTTTTAGAGCGAAGA